AATTTCGCGATGGGTTTTGCACTAGTTTTCAAAAGAAATTGATTTAAAAAAGTGTTTATTTTGAAGGTTATTGACAAGTATTATAGCTGACTTGAAGTTGGTTTGTTTTAAACTGACTTTAAAAAAATCGTTTTATTTTGAATTTGACTTTTATTGCAAGTAGCAAACCAACTTTAAGTTAGTTATAATACTTGTCTGTAACCTTCAAAATAAACAATTTTTTTAAATCAATTTCTTTTGAAAACTAGTGCAAAACCCATCGCGAAATTTTAGTAGCAGGAAGATATTGCTTTAATTAACATGCTCCAAAAATTTGGCATAAATCGGGTTTTCTCCAACGAAGTTACAAACATTCAAAATCCCGATAAAAGGAAGAATGGTTCATTTTTAAGGTAAATTTTTTTATATTTCTGAGTTGATAATCAAAAAAGTATTTAAATAATAATAAAGTGTATTTAAAATACTTATTATTTAAATAATTCTGATTTACGAAAATTAAATTACTTTGTCAAAAAAAATTGTTAAATATAATCGATTTTTGACATTTCATACAGAAACTTAAATAACATATTTTACAGTTTATTATAAATTATTTGATACTTTTATTAAGTTCAAATCACAAATTAAGTCTTTAAAAATAAATATCAATCGCTTTTTTTATATTTCTTAAAGAGATTACTCCTTTTTTAAATATTTTGTAATGCCTGTCAATGTAACCTTTTTCATGTACTCTCAATTTATAATATCTTTTTTTATATGAAATGAAATTATTATTTACAAATCATTGTGCATTTCGTAATCCCAAAACATATAAGAATATTTTCCCGAAACATTGAAATTTTTTATAAAGATCAAAAATACATTAGGCAAAATAAAATGGTTTGACCCTACTATTTTTAAAAAATTCAAAAAAGTTAAAAAACAGAATCAAAAAACACCATTTTTTTTAATCGTCAACATTTTGATTAAAAAATTTTATTTTTTCTTTTCCAAGGTACCGACCATAGCAAAGCCTTTAATAATCAAGAATTTCTTTGAGTTTTTTGTTTTAGAACATTACAAAAGTCTCCACACTGTCAACCAGTACGCACTTTTTTTTCAGTCCCCACTTCATCAGTTTATAACTTTAAAATTTTTTTATTATTTTGTTTCCTAATTTTTTTTGTACTCTTTAAACATTAATAAACAATTTGCAAGAAAAGTAAATACTAAAAATGTTAAACTTTCTTTTTTATTCTACTCGGAAAAACACCTGAGATTGAAACCTATAGACCAGAATACTCCCTTAAAATCTTTTAGAACTTAATTAAAGATAGACATGCGTCCGATTTCTTGGCACGGTTAATTCTTATTTAAGTGTTTATTTTATAATGTATGAAGTCGTTTGGAATTCAAGTTTGTTTTAATTTGTTACTCTTTTATTTACGTCCTGAGTAAATTACAAACATTTTTGTCAGAAATGTAACCTAGAATTGTCACAAGCTAATCTGTCGGTTATTATTGTTTTATTTCTAAATACAAATTATCTTTTTACATTGTTATTAATTTAATAATTTTAATGTTTAGATACTGCTGATAAATTCTACGAGCTATGCTCATTCTAGTTTTAGTGAACAGTTCTATGGCATCACGGTTAATTTATTGCAAAACAAGATTAAAATGTCAAGAATGGTTAGTATTTCTGTACTATTAAATATTTTATTTATATTTAAGTTGTTGTTTCAAGTTGTTGCGGCCTTTATAAACGAAATTCTGATAATTTTTAATAATATGACCTAATATTTGTACAATTATAATACATTTTTAACAAGTTTGAATATTCACGGTTCTCGATTAGTCACCGATTGCGAATTTTGGACAAGTGAAGGGAGAAGCATCTCTTTTCCGTCATTTCAGTTCGATTATTATATTTTAGTTTTGTTTAAAGTAATATAATTTTATTGAATTAATTAATATTGATTAGTTGAATTTCCTTATTATTTTCTATTTTCTTACATCGATACAAGCGCCTCTCGCGGAGAAAAATATCACTATATTTGAATACAAAATAAGCCGGTGTGACAATGCTGTGATATAACTTCTAATTCTGTTTTGACAGTTGATTGTTAATTCAATGAAGCATGTGAAAAAAGAAATCGTTAGTGAAAATGCCTTCTGTATGTGTTGTTGAAAATTGCAATTCTTCTCTTTTAATTAAAGAGGGAAGAATAATATCTTTTTTTAAAGTTAAGGTATGTTTAAATTTAAAATAATATATGAATACAAACTTTATTAAAGAAAATTATATACTGTAAAAAAATTTCTGTAGATTAACATTTTTGTTCAGAATTTTATAGAAACTTGTAAAATAACGTCTTTAAAAGTAGTGAATTTAAAATCCCTTTTGTAAAATTAATACTTTTAATGTGTCAATTTTACAATTTTCTATAAATTTACTACTTTGAAAATAGTTAAGTAATATTTTTGCCTTTTTATTACCTACTTTCAAAGTAGTAAATTTACAAAAAAATGTAGAATTGACACATTAAAAGTATTAATTTTACAGAAGGGATTTTGAATTCACTACTTTTAAAGACGTTATTTTACAAGTTTCTATAAAATTCTGAACAAAACTGTAAATCTACAGAAAATTTTATTTACAGTGTAGTTACAAATTTTAGAATTTGTTTACATTTATATATTTATATTCATACTTCATGTTTATATTTAAGATATTTATAAACTTATAGGAAAAAGTGTTGGAATCTTGGCGAGTTGTTATTCCCACCAAAAATAATAAAGTGCTGACAAAAAATCATGTTGTTTACGAATTACATTTCAATGACATTGATATTGAATGAGTATACAAAATAAATATTAACGGAAAAATGCACGAATTGCCCAGGGGCAAACCACTTTTGAAGGACGGTGCTATGCCAAAAATTTTTCCTTATGATTATAATGAAAAAATTGCATATACAAAGATTGCTGAAGGAAGACAAACGTTTAAATTTCCTTCAAAAAAATGGGCAACTGTATGCAAAGACGAATTTATCATTTGGATAAGTTGGATCAAAAGTAGTGTTTGTTCTGAAAGACGGGTAGTATTGTATCCAGACATGAATATAAAAGTAAGTATAGTTTAATTATATTTATTATTATATATTCATATTATATATTTTTTCATTATAATTATTTTATTTAAAAACAGTTTGCTAATTTTAATAATAATAAAAATAATTTTTTTTTATTATCTAAGTTGTTTATTAATCAAATCGAAATAGAAATTGAAACTGATGAAGTTAAAACTGTTGGCAATTTAAATTTTTTTTTGAAAAAGTGGAAACCTTTTTTCCATGTCGCAGTTTTGGACCGTATAGGTAAATAAATGAATATTTATATATTCCGTACAAAAATGCGAATTAAATTTTTAACAATACTTAATTTCTATTGTTATGCATAATGTGAATTTTCCAGATCTGATAAATGTGCAGGCTACATTGTGCAAAAAGGAAAACACGATAGAGGTCCTAAATTTAAAGTCTGTTGCATTTGTGCAAAACATTTAAAAAAATTTGTCAGGGATAAAAAGAAAAATGATAAATTGCACCAAACAAAGATTAGAGCAAAAAAAAATTCTAGGGAAATAAAAAGAAATAGCCAAAAGTGCAAAGCAAGACTTTTAAAGAAGGTGCAAATATACATTATACACTCTCTTAAACTGAATCAGTGAAATTTGACTGAGAATCAGTGACTCTATTCTCGCGATTTGAATCAGTGAAATTTCACTGAAGATGAGTTAAAAATGATTGAAATTTCAGCCATTTCTCACTGATTGGTTAATTAAAAAATAACTGAAATTTTCAATATGTGTGACAGAAATTTTCAGTAGTTTTTTAATTGGCGAATCAGTAGAAAATGACTAAAATTTCAGTTATTTTTAACTAATTTTTAGTGAAATTCCACTGATTCAAATCACGAGAATACAGTTACACAATAAAATAAAAGGCGTTAATACTAAATTAATTAATCGTTTATAATTTTATGTAAAAACACTACAGGAGGAAATAAATGAATTAAAAACAGCGTGTTCTCAAAGTAATGAAGAAATAATTAACGATGCTATTTCTAAATTACCCCCGACGCAACAAACTGCAGTTAAAACGTGCTTTTCTGCTGCAAAAATGGAAAATAATAAGAATATGCGTTACACAACTAACTGGATTTATGAGTGTATCCTCCTACGAATCAAAAGTAAAAAAACTTATGAACATCTTCGTTCACGTCAAGTTCTAAAACTTCCATGTGTTGGTACACTATATAATTATTGTAAGAAGTTAAAAACTTCATTTGGGTTCCAATCATATATTTTCGACGGAATGAAAATGAAGTCAGATGCCATGTCAATGGAGGATCGCCGTGGTTAGTAACATACTCTCTAAATCTGAATCAGTGAAATTTCACTGAAAATCAGTGAAATTTGAGAATCAGTAACTCTATTCTCGCGATTTGAATCAGTGAAATTTCATTGAAGATCAGTTAAAAATGATTGAAATTTCACTCGTTTTCCACTGATTTGCCAATTAAAAACTACTGAAAATTTCTGTCACACATATTGAAAATTTCAGTTATTTTTTAATTGACCAATCAGTAAGAAATGACTGAAATTTTAATCATTTTTAACTGATCTTCAGTGAAATTTCACTGATTCAAATCGCGAGAATAGAGTCACTGATTCTCAGTCAAATTTCACTGATTCAGTTTTAGAGAGTAGATTTAAGGAGAGGCACCACCTTTATTTTAACCCATTTAAAATTAAATTATTAAACTAGGTAATACTTTTTCTCTTGCATCATTTATAACGTTGAAACGTATAAGATGGTCACATATATTTAATTTTATGTTCTGATTTAATTTCAAAGGAGTTAAAATAAAGTAGAATATATAATGTCAAAAAAGTTTAATGTAAATAATGTTAGTGATGATTTTTTTTAACATTAGGTGTCATTTTAGTCGACGAAATGAAACTTTCAACAGCAATTTATTTCAACAAAACGAATTTAAAGTTCGAAGGTTTCACCGACCTCGGAGAGTGGACTCCGGAACATCAGAAGCAAAAAAAAGGGGACCATGCTCTGGTGTTTATGTACCAGCCATTTAGAGGATCATGGGTACAAACGCATGGATGTTTCTTGAGTGTCGGTTGTGCATCTGGCACGGTGTTGCACAAATTATTATTAGAATGTATTCTTTTGATTGAAAACAGCGGCTTTTTCGTCGATGCCGTCGTCACCGACGGCGCCTCCTGGAACAGGTATATGTGGAATATCTTCGGTGTCACAGACAAAGATATCAGCGTACCTCATCCATGTTGTGATGCTGAAAGAAGACTTTGGTTCTTCTCTGACTTCCCCCATCTCATTAAAGCACTGCGGAATTTTTTAATAAAATTGTTTAAATACGCAGTAATTTACGTATGTATTGAAACAATATTGTGAACGAAATATTTCTTTCGCATTTTTTATTTAATTTATGAAAAATTTATTCGTTAATTTTTCAGACTCCAGACGGCAACATTTCTTTGAAGCACTGGTACGCATTACTCGAACTTCTTGGAAAACTCTCATATGAACTGAGAGTAAATTATAAGCTTCGCTTGGACCACGTAGAGCCGAAATATTACCAGAAGATGAACGTTGCACTGGCTTTCCAGGTAATATTGTAGTTTCTTATTTAATATATATATACCAATATGCAAAATTTTTAACATTTTTTTATTTCAGTTTTTCAATATTCATCATGCTTTGGAAATTTACAATGATTGCCATGAGGATCTGGAAGATTGTAATGGAACAATTACGTTTTGTAAAAGGATAACGTCTCTTATCAAGGCGATGAATAGTCGCACTGCTTTTGATGCCATGGCACCGAATAATGAAGCTTGGAAGGTTAAAAAATTTTAATATAAATTAATCGTATTATAAAATATAAATAAATATAAATTTAAATAATATACTTTTTATATGTAGACCATTGAAGACTTTATTCTCTTTCTTGAAGAATGGGAAAGTAACGCGAAGGGCAAATTGGAATTCATGAGTGATAATTGCTGTTACGGTATGAAAATATCATTAAAAGCAGTTTTGGAGATTTGCACCTTTTTAACAGAGAAATGTAATTTCTCATATTTAATGACTGCGCGTGTGAATTAGGATAGTTTAGAGGTACATTATAATTAAAATTAAGCTATTAATATATTACTGCTTTTAAATATTCCTTTCATTTATACATTTTTTATTGATTTTTAGAGGTTTTTCTCCTTAATGAGAGATTCCTGTGGTGCTAACGATCATCCTGATCCTTCTCTGTTTATATCTATTTATAAACTAGTTTCCACCTACTCGTTGATTAAACCTCCGAAGGGTTGCAATGTCGAAGGACCTGAAATTTTTCAAGCTCTTCTTAAATCAAGTGATGTTGAACATTCCAATGAAAGAAAAAAACAGTGGGAAGAAGAATTAGATTCCATTTTGGACCAAGGATCCAGCAATATAGTGGACAATAGTGAAACTTTAAAAGAACACGACTATTCGAGTTCGGAAGCATCGGAGTATGCCGTTACGTATGTTGCTGGATACGTAAGCAGAAAGGTAGCAAGATTTGCAAAATTTAATCCTAAAAATAAAACTACGGTTTGCAATAATTGCTCTGTAAGTTTAATTTTAAAAGATGATGACACTATTCCTGAACGGCATAAACTGATCGAATTAAAAACGAGAGGATCTTTACAACATCCTTCTGTGCAATTATATAATTTGATCAGCACTTTAGAAAATGCGATTATTAGTGTTGTTCAAAAAGAAAGTATTGAGCAAGACACTCTTTTCAAAGTAACGAAAAAACTGTACAACTTGTCTCCCATACCTTTCGTTGGATGTGAAGAACACAGGGAAATTTTGACCAAGCGAGTTCTAACATTTTATTTGACAACACGTATGCTTCTTATCACAAAAAGACACAATCTCTTGGATGATAAAGAACGCGAAATGATTAAAGAAAAGCGGAAGTCTGCTAAACTTGTTACCATTACTAAAAAACAGCAAAGCATAAAAGACGTAGGTAGTTCTGTGGACTGTTGTGAGGATTCGACAAAAGTTGCTCTTAAAAAAAGAAAAATTTATAAAAAGAAAGAATAGCAATATAGGTATTGAAAGATAAATGTTTATTTTTGTTTTTTTTAAATTATTTAATAAATATTTTTTTGTACATTTCATCGGTTTAAAATTTATATGTAAGAAATTTGCACGAAAATTGCAAATTAAAATTGGTTTCGTTTCGTTTGTTTATAATTTATATATGTGTATAATTTATATAAATGATTTGCAACCAACTTGCAAATGAAAATTGATTTCGTTTTATTCCTTACTCTCTTTACTTTTATATACAAAATTCTCGATCAGCACGTACAAATTACCTTCATACAGCTGTAACATTAAATTGGAAATATATAATATTACGTGTAATATTAAAAAATATGACATGTATTATAATGCAATAAATAATTTTTATATTGAAGAACTATCTACGTAAAATTACGTGCTGCTTGAATTTATTCTTCAATTTCGTCAATCATTTTTAAAAAATCACAAAATTCATTAAAATCTCTAATATGTATAAATTTAGAGTAAGGAACAATTTTTTGATTTATTACTATTTCTAAAGTTGAATTAGGATATATAACGACTTTTTTTTTCACTGATGCGTCATTTTCAACTCTAGCAAAAGCCATAAAATCCTCATCTCCTTCTGTAAAGCACCAACTGTCATGAGGTAAATATTTTCTCTGCATGTTCTTACGTAAATTATTGTAATTGAGTAAGTGGTGACAGTCTTCCATTGCTTTAAATTGATGTCCTCTTCGTATATGTACCTTGACAAAAAAGATACTTATATAGAGAAAAAATATCATATTTATTTAACTCTTAGTAAAAAAATCTACAACTTTTCTTTATTTATACGTGTATATAACTGTTAAATACGTTATTTTAAAAATTAAATTGAAATTGAATAATATTAAATATAAATATATTGCATTTATATTTAGTGTTTTTTATGTGTCTATTATATTATATTATACATAATATGCTATGTATATATTTTTTAGTTATATTGAATATATTTTATTTTTGTGTTTATTATATTATAATTTACAATGTAAATATAATACTAATAATAATACTAAACACAATTTTAATAAAAATTAACTGAATTTATTAAAACCTATGTAAACATAATATTAATCGCAACAATTTTCACATCTTGTACTTACTTATTTATCTCTTTTCACTTCCAACCAAGCACTTTCAAAATTAATATTGAATATATTATAATAATATCTTATAATTATAAGATAATTTATAATAATAATTGTTAACTACTTCAAAACAACACTAACTTATAAAAATACAAACTGCACTATACATTTGTACAATAACAATAGCAGACGATTATTAGTGACATTTTCCCCCGTTGAAGGCGCTTCTATCGATGTAAGTGAGCCCTGAGGAAACACGGTAATGAAAACTGCGGCCACTTTGCGAGAGTGGCGTTCGGTCTCCTTATACTACTCCATGGTTTATGTCTGTAGTTGATGTTCTCACATCAATAGCATCAAACAAAAAATTGCATATAGTGTTAGCACCTTTCTTTAACCGATTTTCTATAAATATACATGTAACTGTTTTGCGTTTCAGAGAATGTGTGAATGTTTAAAACATTTAAAGCGATTAAACGTTTATAATATTGTTCATTTACTGGCAGTAAGGGTAGGGACAGATTTTGACCGAAATCAAATTCCAAACACAATGCATCTTTTTCAAGTAATAATTTTTTTTAATTTTGTGATCGTCGACAAGTTTTTTATGATTTTTAAATTCTATAATTTCCCCATTATTTTGATTTTAAAGCGAAAATTTAACACATCAGTGCGAGATTTTGAGAAACTGAAATTCAAATTTTTGTTTACATATTTTGAATATGTTACTTCACTGATTGGAGAATTTAAATCGCCGGTTTTAATCGAGTAATATTCAATAAACAGTTTGCACAACATAGTCATTGTAAGTTTCAAATTTTCTAAATATAATAAATTTGATTTTTCTAACGAATAATGTGATGCCGAAAGTGGTAACAAGCAATTATCATGTATCATGTTTTTAATGAATCCGTTAATACAAAATGTCTATTTTTCAGTAAAAAAATCTTTTTGTGTAGAAATGTTTTTTATCTATAAAATACAACTTTTAATGCATAATCTATCAATTTATACTTTATTGGATAATTTTAAATGATTAAACAATTTTTTAAAATTTAAATCTATTAATCTTGACAATATTTTTGTCAATGTTAGGGAGCAAGTGAGCTCTTCCTAAAGCGTAAAAAAAATTTTAGTTAAGCCAGGGGAATACACTGAATATTACACATGGGGTGTCTAGATGCCTCACTTACTTCTTATATGATTCAATAAATGAATTCTCGTAGATTTTTCTAACAAAATTTGATTTAAAAATGAATTTCAATTAAAATTTGACATATTATAAAATGAATTTTTAGAAATAATTGAATTTTGAAAAGATTTTACATAAAAATCTTTTAAAATTTGAATTTTTAATACTTTTTACCAATAATGCTGTAGAATTCATTTTTAAGTAAGTTTAATTAAATTTTTTGTAAATTATTTAAAGTAAACATGACTTTAATAGAACAATTTCTAATTAATTGAAATATCGTAACATTGAATTTCAAACATCAATAGATTTAAACATTTTTTTCAAAAATTATTAAGGAGGTTCTATCGCTTGACGTAGCTAGTCAAAACAGTCACAAATATTTAATGATTTGACTCACTTGGTAACGTACAACGTTTGGCAACGCCGAATCATTTCTAACCTGTGATGAAAATTATCATTTAAACTTCGCGTTAAAATTTAATGCGTATACTGCATGCAACGTTGACAAACGTTATAAGTGTTGTTTATATTAACAGATGAAACGTAAATTTTGTTTACAAATTGATTTATTGTAAATCTCACAGGTACCTATTGCCAATTGTTTTTAAAGATATGTAATTATTGCATGTCGGTTTAGTATTTAAAAAATTTAGAACAATATCTGTTCATTTAATACATTGCAGTATGTAAATATATATGACAAACTACTCAATTCCCATAAGACTCAATGTTAAGTGTTGAAAACCAAAAATGTTTATAACTTTTTTCATAGGTACCTAGAGGTCACAAAAATCTAACTACGCCTTTATATTAACTTTATCTAGCTGCTTATCAAGTTTTATTAAAATCTGTTCATTAAATCAATTATCGATAGAACCTCCTTAAAAATAATTAATTTAAAGAATAATTTTAGTTAAAAATTGTAGAAAATATTCTTATAAGTTTTAAAAATCTTAATTACTATGAAAAAATAATGTTGAATAAATATTTACACTACCGTTGGGAATTATCGGTATGGCTGCAAGCGCATGGCCCAAAAACATACTAATCTTTAAATCACGATTTTTTTGTAAATACAAATGTCAGAAAATTAACAAATATATAATTCGAAAGATTATTAAATTCTACGATTAATTATACATAACTAAGAACTTTAATAATTTATACAAAGATTGCAGCAATAAACAAATTTGACAAAAAAATTTTTAAAATAAAATTTTTTTGAAATTTTTTCAACTCCTGCACATTTTTTAAAAATTGTAGAAAAAATTTGAAACTTATATAGGTGTGAACATTCAAGTCTCATCTTTAATTCAAGACCAAAATAGTTCAAAAATCTTAATCGGTTAGCGAGATATCATTATAAACGGCAGAGCATTTTCAGCCAAAAACCGTTCAAAATCAACTAATTCACTGCATTTGTCAAAAAACATGCTCGGACGTTTATAATGATATCTCACGAACCGAATAAGATTTTTAAACTCTTTTGGTCTTTAACTAAAGATGAGACTTGAATGATCACACCTATATAAGTTTCAAATTTTTTCTACAATTTTTAAAAAATGTGCAGGGGTTGAAAAAATTTCCAAAAAAATTTTATTTTAAAAATTTTTTTGTCAAATTTGTTAATTGCTGCAATCTTCGTATAAATTATTAAAATTTTCAGTTATGTACCATTAATCGTAGAATTTAATAATCTTTTG